AATCGATTACAATTTTTAATCTGATTAATCACATCCTTTTTCTGTAATTAATCGTGATTAATCGCACTCTTCATGAAATTAAGCATAGACCATTTATCTTGTTTCAAATGTTTATTTTGTCATCATTTGCTATATCCAGCAAAGTAAACCAAAAGATTGAAGGGTGATTCTCAAAAATCTATATTTTCTGCAAGCTTTTTTCAAGGTTCATTTAGATGACTTTCCAAAAAAGGACACTTAGAAACTCCAAAAGGACACCAAAGAACCAAATAGTATAAGGAGCCCATATAAGCACATATGAAATAAAAAAACCTTAATTTTATAGTATGTGTACAGTGCAACACCAAAGAGCTTTTTACATTTTAGAGAAGCCAAGTTGCGATACCGAACAGGACCATATGGAGATGCAAAAAAAACCTAAACCAACCGCCTGCTGACTGCATATATCTACTACAGTACACAGATCCATTCCGTATAACTAAACACAGAAACATACACATGACAAATCAAAACATTATCGTGAATGTGTGTGGAAAAAACGGAAATACACGGAAATGTCTGTGCCTGTGCATAAATACAATGTGCGATCAGTGCGTCAAGAGCACTCATACACGCATTATTATAACGGACTCACGTGTGCTTACTGTACTGTATGACTCCTGTACGCGCTCTTCAGAGACAATCACAGAATATAACAGAGTTCGTGTTTAAAAGCGAAACACACTGGAATGAAGAATTCACTGAAAACGCAACGCGAGTCTCTGTTCTCTCTGCAATCTCTGATGTAATCAGCCTGGTTTCCTTTATATTAGCGCTGTTTTGGACAGATTGTTTGAATGCATTCGCTCACTGGATCATTGGACTGAAAACTTTCCCGGAGTTTAGCGGCTTAAAATGATCTAATCGCAAGCAGGGTAGCAAAATTGGGTTAAAGGGTTAGAATATAAATTGTGCTTCGGTAATTTTGCGTTAATTGCGTCAAATTATTTTAACGCGTTAAGGATTGTAAAATGAATCGCATGCGTTAACGATGACAGCCCTAATATATGATGGGAAACTGGCCTCATGGACGTCCATTCTGGGCTTCATCGTGATAATGTCACTATAGGGCTTGACTGAGCCTTTTCATTGGACGAATCTTCGAATGTCAGCTGACTGCACTGAAAAAAAGTGACCAAAGCAGCCTTTCTTCTTTTAGAAAGGTTTATTGATCAATGGAATATTTTTCTACTTAAAGTATTTCATGTCATTTTTTTGTGTTATTTTATTTGTTTTATATGGAAGTATATGAAGAGTTTGGTTCCAAAACTCTATAAATCCATTTTGATTAATTTGAGTAAACAGAATTGTGCTTCGGTAATTTTGCGTTAATTGCGTCAAATTATTTTAACGCGTTAAGGATTGTAAAATGAATCGCATGCGTTAACGATGACAGCCCTAATATATGATGGGAAACTGGCCTCATGGACGTCCATTCTGGGCTTCATCGTGATAATGTCACTATAGGGCTTGACTGAGCCTTTTCATTGGACGAATCTTCGAATGTCAGCTGACTGCACTGAAAAAAAGTGACCAAAGCAGCCTTTCTTCTTTTAGAAAGGTTTATTGATCAATGGAATATTTTTCTACTTAAAGTATTTCATGTCATTTTTTTGTGTTATTTTATTTGTTTTATATGGAAGTATATGAAGAGTTTGGTTCCAAAACTCTATAAATCCATTTTGATTAATTTGAGTAAACAGGTGTTTTCTTTACCAAGAAAGTGGCAAGATGAAAACCGCTATTTTCTGTTTCAAACTTTCACATAGCATCTTTAGGTTATAATAACATAAAAAATTTTAATCCAGATTTAGATTTTCAAAGATTTATTATAAAATTGTATTAATAAATCCATGACACGTTTTTTTTTTTCTTTTTCCAAAATGCAATAAATCCATTGAATCAATATAAAAGTTATTTTTCATATTGAAACATGTTGAAAATACACAACATAGCAAGTTAATCCACATGTGACAGCCTCTGAACTTCAATACTAATCTTATATGCAGGCACTGGACTAAAAATACATTCAATCAGTCATAGCTCCAAAAATAATTCAACGGGTCATCTGGTTAATGCTATAACTTAATTACAACAATAAAAGAAAATTTCATCATGAACAACAATATCACATTAAACCACAGAAATTCCAAAATTACATTTCCCTTACATTCAACTTCCAAAAGTGCATTCATATTTGCCATGTTACATTTATTTAGTTGACTAGTGCTATACGCTGTATTAACAAAAACATTAATGGCATTAATAAAAACACTTACACTGACAAGCTACGCAATATCGCGTTCATAATCGAATGCGACTCATCTGCGATTATGAACGCGATATAGCGGTGATCTACGGCTCTGTGTCTTAAATGCCGTTCCATCTGAAAGCACGTGATGGAGATTTACTATTCACAGAACCAGCTTTACCGACGAGATGCGCATGACAATCACATGTGATTTATCATGCAGCCCTAAGTTTGTTTGTTTGCTGATCACAAAGTACAGAATAGATTAGGAAAACGAGGGTGCCTGGTGTATTCAAAGCGCCGCCATTACTGTCTAGAGTGTGTGGAATGGTGCACTGTGATTGGTTGAGCAGATATATCGCATTCTGCAGAGAAGGGAGACTGGCGTTTGTCGCGGTTTGGAAAAAAAGGGAGAAAACATGACAGAATAACTCGGCGGATATCGCATTTTGCATTGTTTATATATATATAAACAATACCTATTTGTATTGTATAATGTATCGAAAGATAAAACACAATTGCAGAGTGTTATACAGGACTTTATTAAAACAAATAGCATGCTAGCATCTACCATGAGTCCAATCTAGAAGTCCTTTTGTTGTTTCCAAGAGTCTAATAAGAACCCCCAGCCCAGAGAAACGCCTCCAGATATGAACCAGTGTACTGCAGACTGTGCAGAAAATCCCACTCCCCTGTGGGGATCTTCTTTTCGAAGAGAAAATTAATATTCCATTCCCCCCAACCCCCTCGACTCCAATCGTGCTCAAAGCAGGAAGACTATGATGTCTCTTCATATCTGCATAGGTTCATTTGTGTATTTGTGAATTCTTAAGTACTAACTGGTCATCATGAAAAACTCCAGCCAGGTATGTATTTATAGATGTACAGATTTTTCCTTTAAAAAATGGAAAATATAATAATAATAATAGCAATAATAATAATAATAAATCATACTAACTCAACTGGTAGAGCATAATCCTAGCAAGGCCAATGTCATGTTCCATTTGCTGAGAAGACATATGCTGATATAAATACAGAAAAATATATAAAATATATGTAAACCGTTCTGTCTGGTCAA